ATATTTTAGTTTTTCTTATCTATGAAATGACCCATCCAGTTTCCCTAAGTTTCTAAAATTCTGGTTCTGATATTTCTTATAAACTCCAGAAATATGAGCATTTTTTTCTCAAACCAGAGATCTGTAGGGATGATTTGGCTAATAACTAGCTACTAAGTTGGAGAAAGAATTCACTTGGCCCAGATGGTCTATTCTCTACCTGCATCACCTGAGCATGGCTGGGACAGTATCATGTGGGAATCCTATGATGCTGGGCCTCCCTGTCTGTAGATGGCTGGTGTCTTGCAGAGAGAAGATATGATTGCTGTGATGTGGGCAAATACTCCAAGAGCTGCTACTGTACATGTACTTCACAAGCAAAAAAATACCTGGTACTTGTGGCTCTGTGTAGTGACTAGCCATAACCACAAACAAACAGGCTTTTGATGCCTACTCAATTGAAAGAAAACAAGAGATCATTCTGGAAAAAATAGGTCAAATAAATTGAAGTCAGAGAGGATTGTAGACCTGGGGTTTCAGCTAAGAGGCAAGGCTTGCAAGGTATATGGCTGCAGAGAAGCAGAATCACAGAAACTGCTGGAACTGATGAAATGTGGGGTATAAGCACAAGAGAAAAGTCATAAATCATCTTTTTTATGAGGTTTGAGAGGGTGCATTGTAAGGAGTGATGCAAGGCAGAGACCAGCTGAGACCACCAGGCTTGTGTAAAGGCAACATGGTGAGGAATTTATTGTGCCTGAGAGTGTAGGCATACAGGGGCAAAAAGACTGTCTATAGGGAGCAAAGAGAAGTACCTTCCCTTTTTTTTAATCAAATTGGAAAGAAGGCAAGGAGTGTTAGGTGAGGAGGTCTTCATAAACCTCAGTGGTCAAAGTTCTCTGAATGTTTTGTGTCTCAGTGGGCAAAGTCCTTGATGCATCTATTGTGAGGGCTTGGATGACTTTATGTGCACTTTATGTGCTTGTAAGATTCTGTGTTCCATCTTACCTCTTTTATAATGTCCTATGTTTGCCTAGGACACTGGTGCTGAGCTGAGAACAATGCCTCTGTTGGCAGACAGATTGGGTAGAGTCATGTCCTAATGGAGCCTCACAGGCACCATTCACAACTATTGAAAGCTAGAAAGGTGTATCCTCAGGAGGGGGAGTATAATGCTAAGTAGTGACCCTGATGTTAGTGGTAGTGCTGAGTCGAACTTTGGTAGAGCTGTCAGGCCTGAAGACAGAGCCATGTTTTGTCTTTTGTAGGCTATAAAATCATAAAAATCAATGAGCTCCTTGAGGAAATAATAGCAGAGGCCACCAGCAAGACTTGAGTAGAGGGCAGGGAAGATAGCTCAGTGGCATAAGCACCTGCCTGGCAAGCACAAGGTCCTGAGCTTGATTCCCCAGTACCAAAAAAAAAAAAAAAAAAAGACTTGAGTTTTCCTTCCTTGGAAACTTCTGTTCCCACGTGCTAGAGAAAACTTTATTTTTCCAATTGGTCCCATTTCCAAATTCCTTAGGGAGAATCTAATTGGCCTTAGTGTCTACTCCAGGGCAGATGCACTGTGGCAAATGAAATGGAATGACAGCAGAAATATGACTGTGAGGTGCTGTATAATCAGTACTTACTAGAGAAATAGATTTAATTCAACATATACAAATATGTAAGAATTTACCAGATAGGCTTACAGTGGCTGCCCACAGAGTCAGGTATGGAAGGGTGCTAAAGGTCTGGGCGCACACTGGGACTCCAAGTCAGAGGCTGGGTGCTCAGTCTAGTGTCCATGTGAGTCTGTATCAGGAGCCCTAAGGGTACCTGCACCAGCAGCCTGAAGGGTTGGTGCCAAAGGCTAGAGTCTGCACTGAAAGCCTGGAGACAATGTGCAAGGTAAAAGCAAGACTGACTGAAGCGCCTCCAAAGAAAACAGAACAGTCCTTTTTCATTTCCTTTTTACATCATTTAATAATGCTCCCTGAGGTGGGTTTTCCATATCCAGAACTATGCTGAACCAATTTAGTTGGGAATTGTCTTGGTTGCTTTTCTCTCATTGCCAAAACAAAATACCTGACTCCCAGAATTAAGAAAGGGAAGGTTTATTTAGCTCATAGTTTGTGGAGTTTTCAGTCCATACTCATTTGGTTCCAAGGCAGAGTGGCCCATGGAAGACTTCAGGCAACAGTTCATTGCAGTGGAAACGGTAAAACAGCAAGAGCAAAAGGGGAGAGCAGTGTGAGAGCAAGCGTCTTTCCTTCCCGTATATTGTATATAGGCTACCTGCCCCAGGGCAGGTGTAGTACTCATACCCATAATCCCAGCATTGAGCCATGAATCAATCAAAAACTTAGAAGCCTGCCCCATGACTGCATGATGCTTTAGGGTACACCTAGATACAAACCATAACAGGCATTGCTTACTCAAGTTGACACAATCAATCACCCATCACAGGTGCTCATTCCTACGAGCAGAGGTTGCTGCCACAGAGGCAGGGTAGACAGTGCAGTAGATTTTCCACTATATTTGCATGCCTGTGAATGTTTACAGTAGATCTCAACTCAGCTCCCTGAGATGTGTCTCATTTCCCCAAACAGATGAGGAACTTAGGGCCCAGGGAGACTGAATAATGTGGTTAGGGCCACATGCTAAGTGAGTGGCAGAGCCTTGCTCAAACGCAGCTAGTCTCCTAGCCTAAAACCCTACTGTACCCTTTCACTGTGCAGATTTTTCTAACACAGCAAGGCTGCTATGCCCTTACTAATTTATAAGGTAGAAAGTTGTTCTTTTTCCCTGATAAATAACATTGAATGGTCCTAGACATAACAGTAGGGTTGATTGATTTACTAGAAAGAAAAGAATATCTAATGTAGAAAATAATGAATACACACTAGCAACTGTTGAGCACTAGATATTATGAATTAGCTCATTTAGTATTCACACATCCCCATGAAAGTAAGTTGTACTGTTACTCCTCACTTCACAGATGAAGAACAGAGGTACAGTGAGATTCAGTAACCTGAATCAGCTTAGACATTTAGAAAGAGACAGTGCCAGGCCCCAGGGTCCGGCTCTAAAAAATAAACTGCAGTCTCCTCCAGTGTCTTGGGAGGTTGGGCTGCCAACCCTGAGGGATATGCTCCTGTTCTTGCAGGCCATCCATGTCTGAGCATCTCTGGCTTCATGAATTGGTGAGTTTCAGCTCCCTAAAATTTCCTTCCCTCTCACTACAGGTACTGGTGCAAGAGGAGCCCCTGCATTCTCTGCTCAGCCCTGTGCTCCAGGAGGTCTTTGCCACAATCACTGTCCTCAGGTGACAACCACATGCCCCTTACATGTTCATCTTTGTTCCTCATTCAGGTCAATGCCAAAGCCAACAGACATGTTCCATATTTTACCTTTTGAAAACTATTCAGTTAGGGCAATGAAAAGAAGCCAAATGCATGTGTTTGTGCAAGAGCTTTGATTTTATATGTGCTACCATCCTGGCCTAAAAGGCCTTGTTGGAACCTCTTTGGAGTTCAGATTTGTCCTAAGTATCCATTCAGTGAAGAAAGTATCCATTTCCACTCATGCTTCATGACCATAGAGTTCCATGGTCTTAAGTACTTTGTAAGGACTACCTGCTCCTTAATGCTCTTGAAGAATTATGCCACCGTAATTAAACTGATTAAAGGTACATAGATGTCCCATAGTAAAAAAGGGATTTTTTTTGGGGGGGAGGGTAGGGCTGTTGTTTTGTTTTTGGATTTTTATGATAGGGTCATGCTGTGTATTTTAGGCTGGCCTTGAATTCACTATGTAGTCCAGGCTGACCTCAAACTTTCAAATGATCCTCCTGCGTCAGTCTCCTGAGTGCTGGGATTACAGGTGTGCACATCCACATCCAGTGTCAAAAAGTTTTAACTTGGGGAAAAAAAAAAGTTTTAACTTGGTTGAACTCATTATTCCCCAAATCAGCATTCAGCACATAACATCTTGGAAAGTTGTGGCTAACTACATTAGACTACAACAAACTTCCCTCTACAGCTGAACTGGAGGAAACTTCCCGCCCACCCCAGTGACTTTTTAGGACAAAACTCTTCTACTAACCTTTTGTGAGGTTCATCCAAACTAACGAGTGGTGCTATTTATATCTTCCGTCTGAGTGATAGAGCAACCAATATTACCTTGCCTTGTTAGTTACTTTGGTCCCTACTTATCAATGCTAAATAAAATCCTGTCTCCAAACTGTCTTTTCTTAGTTACCAAGATGTACACTTGCTGTTTGGCTCTGAAGATCATACTGAATTGTTCAGTCTCCTCACCAAAAAAATAGTCAGTCTGCCCTCCATCAGGAGTCTTACCCAGCTGGAGGAAACCATTGCAAGCGAGTCCTCCAACCCAGAGGTAACTCACACTTTGCTTCTGTAACTTCCCATCCCGAGCCAGCTGGTTTTAGCCTTTTGAGAGCATTTGATTTTTCAAACCACTTAAATCGGGTCTGGTGAATAAAATAGATAGCTAAATTAGATAAAAGCTCAAATTTTATATTCTCTCATTTTCACTTTACTACTTTTTTTTTTTAACTTTGACTCTAAAATAAGAATGGAAACATTCATAGATTTTACAGACACTAAGGACCATTGTGTGCTAAGCATTATATTGGGCAGTAGGAATGTGGAATTACATTCATTTGCTCATTTGTGGAGCTTGCATTCATATGCAAAGACACAAACCACTGATAAAGAAATATATCTGCTGGTGATTAGTGTTACAGGTTATGAAGAAAGTAAAAGAAGGGGTTCACGTGCTCACCGAGAGAGAGACAGACAGACAGACAGACAGACAGACAGAGAGACAAAGAAGGAAAGAGAAAAAAGTAAAGCAAGGGCAAAAGAAAGCATGTATGGCGGTTGGAAGGCACCAGGTCTTCCGTAGGGTGGTCTGGGAAGCCTTCCTGGTGAAGTGAGAGTTTAAGGAGAAGAAGGAAGCTTCCAGGCAGAGCAAGACTAAGTGCAGAAGCCCTCATTTTATTCTATCACTGCTAAAGCAATTAGGAAAAACAACTTATTCCCTTCCACTTCATAATATCAGAAAGAGTCACAATTCAACTTTTTTAGAGAACTGTATCTTGACAACCCTTACATAGTTCCCCAGAAGTAGTTTGAGTCAGTTAACTGTCACCCCATAATGCTTAGGTGTCCATTTGGAATGAAGATGTCCTGGTTCATCTCATGCCATGAGCTGTCTACAGGTACTTTGATGGTGTTTCTGCAGCTTTGACTAAAGTCTTAAACAGAAGAGCCTCAAAAGTGCAATCTGAGGGCCAGGGAGATGGCTCAGTAGAATAAGCACTTCCCTGGCAAGCACAAGGACCTGAGTTCAATCTCTGGTTCTGCAAAAAAAAAAAAAAAAAAAAAAGTGCAATCCTGAAAAACTGCATGGGCTGGGGTGTTGCTCATCTGTCCCTTTTCAGTGTCTCTACAGGCAGACATTCCAGGCATTCTCTGAGATGCTGCAGAGTTTGGTGGTAAAGGACCCACATTTAGAAAAATTTGATGCCATTTTTAAGGTAAATAAAATATTGGAGGGAACGGGTGAGGGGATAGCTCAGTAGAATAAGCGCTTGCCTGGCAAGTGCAAGGGCCTGAGTTCCGAGAAATCCCCAGTTCCGCCAAAAAATAAAATAAAATAAAGTAAAATATTGGGCAAGAAAGGAAACCATTCCTATTCCACTCATTGGTGAATGGAAGAAGAAAATGTGGAAGGATGAAGTTGCAGGAGGCAATTAATACAGGTGAGAGTATCAGCCATCAGCTACAACTCATTGACTACAAGTCCCTCTGTTCTAAAATCTGCATAGACCTGGACATGGTGGCGCACACCTATGATCCCAGCAGTTAAGAGGCTGAGAAAGGTGGATCGCCATGAATTTGAGGCCAACTTGAACTACATAGTGTGTTCAAGGCCAGCCTGAGTTACATGAGACTTTTTATCAAAAAATAAATGAAATCTGTGTGGAATTTGCTTTCTCAGAGTCTCATGTCTTCACTTGGGAGACACTAATTACTCTAAGTATTGAATAAATGCCTCCAGTAAATGGATCGAATGATTGTATAATTAGTCTTTACATTATCATTCCCTTCCACATAGCAGTTTGGTTTCAGTCAGCCTGGCATGGTAGTGCACACCTGTAGTACCAGCCAGCACTTTAGAAGGCAGGAGGGCTGCAAGTTTTGAGTACAATTTAAGTGCCTGTCTCAAAATTTTAAAAAGGGGTTGAAAATATAGCTCAGTGAGAAGACTCTGGGTTCAGTTCCCAGACCACAAAAAGAAAGAGGAGAGGGAGGGAAGAGGGAAGAAGAAAAAAAGGGAAGAGAAGGAAAAAGAAGAGGAGCAGGGAAGGTTTTAGTTAATGACCAAAGGAATAGTCAGCCTCATGAGTTAGTAAATAGGCAGCTTCCTACCAGGTAGGACTCAGAGGTCACAAAAGGCCTCCTGCCCCCAACTGTAGCTGTTATAGTTTATACCATACCATCAGTGGGGATTGCTCATTGGTGTGCATTCTCTATAGCTCAGAACATTGCTCTCTTGCCTCTCCAACTCTGCCCCAGTACTGGGGATTAAACCTAAGACCTTCACACTGATTTGTAGCCCCAAGGCCTTGCTAAATAACCAAGTGGCCCCCAGGCTGGGATTGAACCTTTAACCTGTGTGCCTCTACCTCCCTGAATACTGGGATTACAAGCACGTACCACTGTGTCTGGCTTCTTGCACTTCTTAAGGATGCAGAGGTACCAGAAAAGGATAACCCTTTGGGCTGCTATTTGTACACTAACACACCAGCCAGAGTGTGTGTGTGTGTGTGTGTGTGTGTGTGTGTGTCTCCTTTATCTAGTTGTACTTTGTATTTTTCTGGCTTGCCAGCTTCTAGCCATTCCCTCTACCTGAGAGGCTTCCACTCATGGATGCCACGTTTTCTGTGTTTCTCTGATTGTTGAGGGAGATATTGTTTCTCCACCCACAAGTTCTTTAATAGCACATCATTTTTTCCAAAGTAGATTTGAAAGAGTTAAAGACATACAGAAGAATATATAATGAATTAAAGAATTACAGTAAATGTAGAAAATCAGCTTCAGTGGAATCGACTTCCTGACCACCTAGATAAGTGGTGGTGAACCTGTGGCTTGCGTGCTGCAGCCATCCGTTTGTTGCTATTGAAAGCTCTACAAGGCTCACTGTCACTGGCTTAGGTCCTTGAGTCTTCCTTGTCCTCCCACCACTTTCATCTCCAACCTGCTGGTTTATCATTTAGAGATATTTTCAGACATGGAAGTAATCTGGATCTTCTCTCTAGGCTTTCTTCCAAATGGAATACATAAAGATGTTATATCCCAAATCTTCCAAGTAAACCATGTAGCCTCCCTTTGTATTTCACAGCACATGACCCCCTGCTTACAGTCGGTCAAAGACCATGAGCGGGAATGGGCCACAGCCAGCATGGCCCAAGTTCTGAAGTGCTTATCCAGACATCTCTGCCTGAAGGTGAGCATCCCCAAGGAACAAGGATTCAGAGCCATCCTCCCACTGCCCACTTCTCTTCCTGCTCCCTGCCTGGGCCTGGGGTCTTGTTCATGCTATGTGGTATCCTAACACTGCCTTATTTCCATATCTGCTTCCTAAAATGTGAGCATCTTGAGGACAGGTATTGTTTATTAATCTTTATATTCCCATTTCTTAGTATAGAGCTGGACCATAATAATGCATTAAGTTTTTTTTTTTAATGGATCAATATGTAATCTGAAAATGTCCAAGGGCCAACAGTGGCCTAGTCTCTATGCAGGCTGGGTTTGAAGAAATGCAATTCAAATAAATTTAAGTAAATCAATTTAAGTATTTCCCAGCATCTCAAAGAGAACAATATTGTAGTACTTCTTTTTAAATCCTCACATTTCTCTCAGTCTCCCTTCTTAGTTGTTCCCAACCCTCTCCATAACTTCTAAAAAGAATTCCTCAAAAATAAGGTCTTTTGGGGCCAGGGACATGGCTAAGTGGAATAAGCGCTTCCCTGGCAAGCTCAATGGTCTGAGTTCAATCCCCGGTTCCGCCAAAAAAAAAAAGGTCTTTCTTCATGGATTCATCCATTTTTTTTCCTTCTTTCTCCTTCCCTGAACATATATAGATATCTTCTAGCCACTGATAGTTCTGTTCTCCATCCATCATTTCTCCCTGCAAAGCAATAAGGCTAGAAAGTGAAAAATAAGTTGGTGAGCGAGAGATGCTGGATCCTGGTGCCAGAATTTTACTCAGAGAATTTGTTCTTGACACAGGTGTTCTAACAGACACATTTAAAAGCATTCTACTAGCTTTCTTATTTCTTAACATTGAAAATATATCCAGGGCCAGCCAAATAGCTCAGTGGTTTAAAGTGCCTGCAAGCAGGTGCAGGGGCTGGGGGTTCGATCCCTGGGCCTGCCTTGCCGGGCCCACCCCTGGGACATGCTGAGATAGCAATTGAAACTGGGTGTGGTGGCATGAGCCTGTAATTCTAGCTCTTGGGAGGCTGTAAACAGGCGGATCACTACTAATCTGATCTAGTAGTGAGATCCTGAACACCCTGTAGACCCTTCCCTAAAATACAAAAAAAAAAGAAAAAAAAAAAAAAAGAAAGAAAGAAAGAAAGAAAGAAAGAAAAGAAAAGAAAGAAAGAAAAAGAAGGAAAGAAAATATATCCAGGGGCTGGTGAGATGGCTCAGTGGTCTAAAGCACCTACTTAGAACAAGCTTAGCAAAGCACAGGGACCGCGGTTCGATTCCCCTAGCACCACATGCCAGCCAGCCCCGCCCCCTGGTGGGCTGAGCTGGCCACACACACACACACACACACACAAATAATAATAAAAAAATTAAAAAAAAAAGAAAGAAAATATATCCAAACTTGCCACCTCTTTCACTGAAATAAATTCAGTCCCTCAGATTATGTTTTTCTCTTTTTTTTTCAAAGTTTTATTGATAAATAGATAGCAATGAGACAGTTTCAAATCAAATCGGAAGTACAGTTTCAACAAATAATACACTGCATATATTCTTCTTAGTGTTTAATTGCTGTACAAGAAGTGGACTTGTGATGCTATTTACAAACACCATTAGAACAAATCATTCTATTCATTAAGAGAATGCAACTATATATCTATCCTAACCACTTTGAATACACAGATACAAAATGGACATTCAACGGTATACCCCATTTTTCCTAAGTTCCGTTATTGAATATTATAGGTGTGTAAACTCAGCAAAATATTCTAAAAGAGTCCAGTAGCCCATAATAGCATTGGGTCTTCTGTTTAACTGGCAATGTCAGAAATTATTGACCTGAGTCCCCCACAGCTCAACATAACAGCATGGCTTTATTTGCTATATTTCCTCTTCATACTTTTCTACTGGATGGTTAAGACCAAGGTAAAGCAGGACCTATGCAACAAGAGTTGTAGCTTTTTGATCTGAGAAGGTCAGTGAAATCCCCTCAGCATTTATCCTGAGATCCTGTACCTCAGATTGTAGAACCTTTATCAGTGTCAGCCATGTGGATGAGTCACGGCCATTGCTTGGCCAATGTGCTCTCTGTGAAAGCCTGAGAGAGTGTCTTCTCCCCATGTGACTCTCCTTAGGCATACTCTACGTCATCGATCACTTTCCTCTTTGGCCCCATAATCTTCTTGATCAGAAAATTTGGGACGCTACTGAGGTACATGACGTTACAGTACAAGTTCTCATATGTCCTGAATCCTAATTGACCTTAGAAGGTTAGGGCCAAAATGTTGGCATTCCTTGTATCCCTCCTTTTTCTCTAATTTTGGTCTGCAAACTTATGTTTTTCTCTTTTGAGACAAGATCTCACTATGCAGTTCAGGTTGGCCTTGAACTCACTGTATAGTCCAGGATGGCCCCAAACTCAGGGCTCTCCTGCCTCAGCCTCCCAAGTGCTGGGATTGCAGCATGTGCCACCATGCCTAGCTTCCCCTACTAATCCAATAATAGCAATGCATTGTTCTTCCTAAACCTTTAATTTTACTACAATTAAAGAAGAGTTTTAAGTGACTGCCTCCTGTGTTCATAGTCTTTCTGTCCCTGGAGCTCTTCCTTAGCATTTTTTTTCTAAAGAGAGTTGCTAATCTGTAGGAGTTCTTAACCAGACACCACTGGAGTCTATGAATATCCAGAAGCTGGTTGTATTACTCTGTGTGGTGAAGTCTTTTGGATTTTCTGAGGAATATCCAGAGCTTTCTTTACATTGTTATAATTTATATACAGTGAAATCTACTCAGTTAAAATATATAGTTCAATAAATTTTGATTTATCACCTCCCTAAGTAGAAATGTTTTCTTTTGTTTAGTGCTTTTATCTCCAGTGCCAATCATGGTTCCAATGGATTAAACACATTATAAATCTTGGCATGTTTCTGTATTGACTCAAAAGGCCATAAAAGCTGGCATTCACAGTATTTCTGTCTCTTGTCTCTGAAGAGCCACTGAAAAAATTTCTTTCTGCCTCAGGCTAAGAAAAACTGTGCTTCTTTCACATGGCTCTTTGCTTCTTATGGACAATGGGAATCATGTACAGAACATTGTGTGCATCTCTGTTAGCAGAAGTTCAGAGCCTCACTCTGCGGCCTACCTTAAGCAAATGGTGACCTTCTGCATGCTAACAGAATTCTTAATTAATCTTTTCTCCCTTAGTTTTGTCTATTTGTGAGATTTTGGTTTATTTCATACTGAGACAGTGTTTTGCTGTGTTGCCCAGGCTGGCCTTGAATTTGGGATCCTCTGTCTCAGCCTCTCAAATAGTTGAAATTATAGGTGTCAGCACTTTGCTTTCTGCCTTAATTTTAAATTTGTCCTATTTTCATCCCCATGTTGTTATATTTCTTTTTATGGTATCCTTCTTGCCACTACTTTACATTATTTTCCATAATTAGGCAGGATATCAGTAAATAGCAATTTTAAATTGTATTAACTGCTATTATCTCACTTTACATCCACCTATTTTACTTATAAGAGTAGCGCATTTTCCAGAATTGTAAATTCCTCACTTGGTTTCTAATGACTGCATTCATAGAATGGCTGTATCATAATTCCCTCCACCATTATAGAATGATTATTTCCAAAGAGTGGTTTTTAAAAACAATGCTAAAATGAACTTGCTTTGTTTTTTTTGTCTGAGATAGGATCTCACTATGTAGTTCAGGCTGGCCGTGAACTCACGTGTAACCCAGGCTGGCCTCAAACTCATAGTAATCCTCCTGCCTCAGCCTCCTGAGTGCTAGGATTGCACGTACACACAGCCACACCCAGTTTGGAATGAAGTAGGCCTTTTCACTTCCAGGTTATTCACTTAGGATACAACTGCCCTGTGTAATGCTGTCCGTTGGATACACTGTATCTGTGCATGTTAAATATTAGCCTTTCAGAGATCTAAGGGCCTAAAGTGATGTACTGCTCTTGAGTTCAGGGTAGAAGTGATCTTACTTGTCAGCAACTCAAATTTAAGATGGTAAATGCACCTATATTCTGATAGCATTTTTCCTTTTCCTTTTAAATTAGCTTCCACTGCAATTCCAAAGCCTTGGACATCTGGTAGCACAGCTGGCACTGCTATGTGGGGACCCACTGAAAGCTGTGGCTGAAGATGCTGCAGAAGGCGCACACTACCTGATGCATGTCACCCTGAGGCTGAAGTGTAAGGCTCTGCTGAAGGCAGTGAGGCCCTGAGTTAGTTTTCTAGCATAACATATGCTCTGGCTCTCCTTATGCCCCCACCTCCGTTTTAGAAAGACTTTTCACCATAGCTCATAAAGAGACAGGTGCACAAGCCAGGCATGGTGGGTCATGCCTAGAATTTCAGTGCTCTGGAAACAGGAAGATCACAAGTTCAAGTTCAGCCTGAACAGTGTAGTGATAACCCCATCTCAGAATACAGAAGGGCTAGGGCTAGAGTTCATTGTGAAGGCCCTGGGTTCAGCCCCTAGCACTACCACCAAAAGAAAAAAAAAAATTCTCTTCTGGTTGTAGGGTTCAGGAAAGTCCCCTCTAAGGTATCAAAAACAAAGACAACTTAGCCATACAACAGGTGAGTATATCAGGCAGAGGAAGCAGAATGAGTAAGGTCACTCAGTGGGTGTGAGCTTGAGGAGTTTGAAAAGTAGGGAGCAAGCTGGGATGGTCAAGGAACAAATCTGACTCCCCGCTAGAAGAGAGTTTAGAAAATACCCAGCCCTGTTCCCCGTGTGAGGCTCACTGACTCTAGCCATCCCGCGTAAGTGCCTTTCCTGGGCTTGCTCATCCTATGCATAAGGAAGCTCTGAGCCTCTCAGTAGGAGCAGTCTCATCTTTGAGCAGCTCTGAGTATAAGACATGTGTATTAAGATACGTAGCCAGGAATACAGTTGGTTATTGATTCAGCAAATACCGACAAAGATCCCCTTGTAATAGGGTTGTATCAGTAGAAAGACTGACAAGATTGCTTCCCCTGGGAACTTAGTTTCTAGTTGGAAAGATAGTATCCTAGGCCAAAGGCTCAAAAACTTTCAAGACGCACTAAACATGAAAGAAAGCAAGGCATGTTACTGGAGGCTAAGATCCATACTGTCTGACATTCCTCAAAAACTTGGGAGACAGTATTTTGGTGAAATGTGAAATGTTTCCTCAAAGCCAGCTTGAGAGTTAGAGTCTCTTGCTATCTGCAGCCTCTGTCTTCCAGTGCTCAGGGGTGCAAAGGGCGAGGAAGGCGAAAGAGGAGACTTCTTCAGATTGCACCTTGGGCCATCTTCTGCTCCCCTGCTTTCATTAAAATGAATTCGTGTAAGAAACTGAATGGGTACATGAGGTCCAAAATGTACAATAGATATTGTGAATTGGAAAGACATTGTTAAAAAAAAAAAAAAAAACTGTGATGGGGAAAGGGGAAAAGAAAAACATATACGCAAGATAATAAAGATAGTTATACAGCTAGTTTCTCTTAGTTTAATAAAAAGAAAGGCTTATGCTAATATTGTTTGGACAAGATATGCCTAGTTGTTGTACTCTGAATAACTACTACAAAGATAACAATATGCAGTGTATTATTGTAACGCCTACTAACCTGTTTTGAAATTCTTTTTTATTTATTTTTTTCTTTTTTTGTTTAAATTAAGAAGAAGAAACATAACCTAACTCTAACCCTAAGCCACGCCCTAACCTCCTGGGATTAGCATCTGCACTCTTCTTTTTTCAGACAGTTACTTCTCTGCAAGCTTTTTTTAATAAGCTGAAGAAAGGAGTGGGTATTTGTAGAAGCTTCCCTTTAGAATGCTGAAGGGAGGAGGAGGAGGAGGAGAAAAAGAAGGAGAAGAAGAGAGAGCCACAGCTCTACTGCAAACATTTTTCCCCTAAAAAGCAGACAGGTTATAGCACTACCAAGTGTTGAAGGCTGTACAACCAGCAAAGCTCTAGCTGCCTAATGACATCTGATAATGGAATTATATCCCTTTTGTCAGAATTTAAGCTTCCTAGAGAGACTGCTTAAAATTTTCTCACCAATGGGGAAATGAGGAAGCATGTCTTGTTCGTATTCACAGGTCACTCCCAACCTCTGCCCTTAGGAAAGCTCTTTGTTCTGTCCGCCCTTCTTATGTGTTCTACAAGAGTAGCAAGTCAGCCATCAGACTGAGCCAGGCCTCCTCTCCCATGCACTTTCATGTGAAATCTTAAAATCCATTATGACCTGGAGGTCAACCAGACTTATAAAATTAAGAAGAAAGAAATAAGCCAGAAAGTAACAATGGTTCATACTTTCTTCTTAGATACCACTCAAGATAAAACAAACCACCAAAACTTGAGAAGAGGGTTGAAGGAGTGCTGTGAAATTCTAGAGAACCACGATATTAAGCAGTTTTACCATAATCCTTTCAAAATTGCCCAGGTAATCAGAATGGCTGAAAGTGTAAAAGCACTTGAAATGTCGGAGGGTGGGGCTAGAAATTCTATTTGTTTGTTCATGAAAATGGAAAACACAAAACATCTGTGCTCTTCTTAATTTGGTGCCTTGAGGGGCCAGGATGTAGTGCAGCAGCATAAACACCTGTCTGGCAAGAGCAAGGTCCCTCCTGAGTTTGATCCCCAGTACAAAAAAACAAAACAAAACAAAAACTGGTGCCTAGGGCAGGCCAAATAACTCAGCTAAAGCGCCTGTTTAGGCAGTGCCAAGGGCCTGGGATTCAATCCTCAGGCCTATTGTGTGGGCCCCATCCCCGGGCACACTGACTTGTCAATTGAGACTGGGTGTGGTGGCGTGCACCTGTAATCCCAGCTCTTGGGAGGCTGTAAACAGGCAGATCACTACAAATCCAATCTAGTAGTGAGACCCTGAACACCCTGTAGACCCATCCCTAAAATTAAAAAAAAAAAACAAAACGAATCAACTGATGCCTAGGTCAACCTTCCAGGAGGCCTATAACACAATATGGCTTTCTCTTCAGACCAGCTCTGCTGTCCCTGAGTGCCAGCCACTCACAAATGTAAACCCATGTCACCAAAGAGCTGTAAGAAAGTGGCTGAGCCATATGCTTGGGATTTTGGGGGGTACAGGATCTCCTTATGCAATTCAGACTCATAGTGATCCTCCTGTCTCAACCTCCCCAGCACTGGAATTACAGGCATATGCCACCGTGCCTGGTTTTAGGGCAGCAAGGTGCCTCCCGGGTTCTGGGGCCAGCACAGCATGCAGTACCAGAGATTGAACCTGGGTCCTTGCACTTGCCAGGCAGGCACTTAGACCGCTGAGCTATCTTCCCAACCTGAGCCATATACTTTTGAATTATGTATTTATTCTTTACTCAATATATACTTACATATCCTCTAGATACTATGCATATAAGGGACTAGGGAAAGAGGAAAACCTACAGATCTTCTGTATGGTGAAAGGTGTCAGGTAATTTATTCTCAGCACAGTTTCAGTTTCCTCATCTGTAAAAGTGGAATAGCCCAGTTATTGCAAAGGTTAAATGAAATGTCATGTGCAAAATACTTAATGCCTGTCACATAGTAAGCCCCCCATAGATTGCACCTATTATAATCATGTGAACTACTTTATACACTCCCTAATGCAGCAAGAAGCAGAGTAACACATTCTTTTAATATGCTGTATCCTCACAAGGCATTTAGTTATGCCACAGACATATCTCTCTCTTTTATTGGGGCCTTTCCTTTAGGCCGACAACCTGTGACTCTAATGACCTCATAATAAAGCTTCTAAAAGAGTGAAAAGTTTTGCACAACTTTAATAGGAAACATTTGGGTTGCTTCTAGTTTTCACTTTAGGACAAGACTGAAGAAAGCAGCTTTGTACATCTGTACCCTTCTCTGATTGTCAACTTAAAATCAAATTTTTGCCCAGCCTGGTGGCACATGATTATAATTCTAGCACTCGAGAGGTTGAGACAGGAAGAGTACTACTAGGCCAGCCTGGGCTACATAGAGTTCAAGTCCAGCCTGAGCCACATAGCAAGACTCAAAGTTCTGTTTATCTGAAAACAAACAAAAATCTAGTTTTTGTTCATAACATATTTCTTTCTAGCATAACGTATTTCTTAGAAGTTCATTTTTCCTAAATCATTTTAGGTCTTCGAAGTTTTTCTCAATTCAAATGAGCTCTGCCAGTTTATAATGACTACATTGAATGGCTTAAAACACCTGAAACATACTTGCACCCAAGAATTGGCTGGAGAATTGCTGCTAACATTGGTAAAAAATGCGGAGTCCCGAATTGAGAAGGTACAGACTTAGTGGCCATTGTCTAGGCTTGAAATAACCAGCAAGACCTCTTCCTTCCTCCTCCTGATCAGCTGAAAACAACTACCAACTGGGGACAGGGCCAATGTCTTAATCCCTGTGCTCAGAAACATTTCTCCATTCAATAAGCATTGAGAAAAATAAAAAATAAGGGCTGGGCTACAGTTCCGTAGTAGAACATTTGTATAGCATGCACAAGGCACTGATGCAAAAAAAGTAGGAAGGAAGGAAATTCAAATTTTTAAAAATGTAATTTTGAAAATATTTGAGTTTGTCTTTTAACTTATCAAATTAGCAAAAAAGCTCAGCATGGTGGCACACTCCTGTAATCCTGGCAGTCTGGTAAGCTAAGACAGGAGGATTGCAAGTTTGTGTGTGTAGTCTGGGAAGCTTAGTGATTTAGCAAGACTGTCTCCAAATAAGGAAAAAAGGCTGGAGAAGCAGCTCAGTGGGAAGACCCTAGGTTCAATCCCTAGTACTGCAAAAGAGAAATGTTTAAACAAAAAAAAGATATAAAAGGAACGGTACTATAAGAGCAGGTTGAGATGGAAACTTGCATGATTTGGGTGCTTTCAGTGACTAAAAAGGCTGTGAGAGAGTTAATCAAAGACTACTGTATATAATTCATATTTATATTAAAATATGTCCTTAGTAATATAATTAAAATAGATAAAATTATATAATTAATATACATGCACAAGAATTTAGGACATAGATTTTTATATTTTCCCAAATGGGTTCATTAATTCAACAGTGTTATACAAAACTCTGTGGCTTTTCTTTCTACTCTTCCTATTCATATGATCATAAAGTAGTCCTAGCGATTTTAGCTCTTACGTGCAGAATAGATGGTCCACAAAGAAGAAGGATGTTGGCTTCATTTTCATCCCTCTATTAAGGACAGAATATCTTTCTCAAAAGCCCCCAATACAGCTATCTGTCCTGTTTGATTAGTCACTGTGGAATCACTTGTCTGGGCCTTCATCCAGTTTGTAGCAAGCTGCTGAGTCACACCTTTTTTAAAAGAAACTTTCAGAAATCATTAATGTACCCAGGACTATGGTATTAATAATTTCTTTTTTCTCCCCAGATACCAGAAATTATGGGAGTTATCTGTGCCCAGCTACCCATAATCAATCAGCCAGGAGTTCGCCAACAAATCATAAGTACTGTGAGTTTGTTCATCTCCAGACCCAAGTACACAGACATAGTGCTTAGCTACCTTCTGTGTCAACCAGTACCATATGACAGGTAACAGAACCTGTGCATCCTTTGGATTAAATTGGGGTACAGAACCTGAGTTTTGTGGAACAAGGTTGCCCTCAAAAATCTAATGAGAGGCTGAGGCAGGAGGATCACTGTGAGTTTGAGGCCAGCCAGGGCTCCATAATTAGTTCAGGATCAACCTGGGTTACTTAGCAAGACCCTGTCTGAAAAAACAAAACAAGAGAGCCAGCAAGGGGCTGGAGAGATGCCTCAGTAGAATAAGTGCTTGTCTGGCAAGTGCAAGGGCCTGAGTTCAATCCATTATCTGAAAACCACTCTTTTAAATGAGTAGTTCTTATATAATGTCTTGGGGTAGTGCTGCTCTAAGCTGTGACATATTAAATCAAACAAGGGAGGACTTTCGCCCATCCAGAGAACGTGCTGTGGAGCTCATTAAAAAGGCTTCTTCCAAAACTATATTAACTACAATATATTAGTTAAAAGGCTTTGTGAGGTTTGTAGTTTTTTATTCTTGCTTGGTTTGGGTAGTGCTGAGGATTGAAACCGGGGCCTTCCCATTGAGCTATATCTCCAGCCCTTTCCATTTATTTATTTATTTATTTATTTATTTTATTTATTTTTTTGCAGAACCAGGGGGTGGGGGGAGAGATTGAACTCGGCCCTTGCGCTTACCAGGGAAGCGCTTATTCCACTGAGCCATCTCCCCGGCCCCTCCATTTAAATTTTTTTTTTTTTTTTTTGTGTGTGTGTGTGTGTGTGTGTGTGTGTGTGGCCAGCTCAGCCCACCAGGGGGCGGGGCTGACTGGCATGTGGTGCTGGGGATTGAACCGCGGTCGCTGTGCTTTTGCTTAGCTTAGCTTGTTCTAAGTAGGTGCTTTAGACCACTGAGCCATCTCACCAGCCCTCCATTTATTTTTTAAACAGGGTCTCAGTATGTGTCTCACGCTAGTGTTAAAATTGTGATCCTCCTGCCTTAGCCTTCTAGAGTGCTAGGATCACAGGAATGCACCACCACACCCATCTTAGTTAGATAGAGCTCTTAGATGGGACTAGCAAAGATGGACCTCAAACCAGCATAAGAGTTGCACAGACTTACAGTACTATAAAGTCCAAAGATCTGTCTTCATTTGATTTTATGAGGGTTCTGTCCATCTCTGCATCTCTTGGATGTGCTGGCACTAATGTTGGCAAAGATAGCAATGGCAAAGAAGTCTTGTCTTTTAGTTCAAACAATGTACTAGGCTTGCAGTCAGCACCTACCAAACTACATGGGCCAAATAGCATTATTAAGGATCTGGGGAAAGGTGGTCCAAAACGATGAATGGTGAACAAAAGCCATGTCACATCTACGAAGTCAGTACTATTAGTGTTGAGTCCTTTTCTGTATTTTTAGCAGATTTTCCAGATGATTCTTTTCACACAAAAATCTGTGAATCATTGGTTTAAAGTCTTTATGTTTTCCAACTTACATGTATTTCCAGCACACTGACAAATATGCAGCAAGTCAAAAGAATGTTGGTGTACTCATTTTATAATAAATAGCTTTCAAAGTAATTTATTACCGGGCTTGATGGTACACACCTGTAGTCCCATTACTTAGAAGACTGAGGGACAAGGATCACTGCAAATTTGAAACCAGACTGAACTACATACATAGTGCCTTCAAAGCTATTACACACTACACAATGAGACTCTTGTCTCAAAAAACAAACAAACGAGGCCAGCCAGATAGCTCAACAGATTAAAGCGCCTGCTTAGGCAGATGCAGGGACTGGAGTTGAATCCCCAGCCTCTGCCATCTGGGGTGTGCTGAGACAGTGAATTGAGATTGGGAGTGGTGGCATGTGCCTGTAATCCCAGCACGTGGGAGGCTGAAAACAGGAGAGTTACTATGAGTCTGATCTGTGTAGTGAGACCCTGCAGACCCTGTGCTAAATACAAAAACAAAAAACAAAACAAAACAAAAAAAAAAACCCTACAAACTAAAAAAAAAAACAAACCAAAAACCAAACCAAAACAAAAAAAACCCACAAACTAATTTATGTACTTTTAGGAACTTAGAGAAAATAACCAAGGGTGAGCAAGCATAGGAATTTCTTAATGACCTCCCAGGATGAATGTTCATAGTCTACCATCTAATTATTTTCTTAGTTATAAACTTTTTCAACATCGCATACCACCTTTTTGGCCTTCACTTTAGGAGTCATAGAACCTTCTTCTTTAATTTTATTCAAATTAGAATTACTGATATAGTACAATATTGGGATAGTCTCTAATTAAATCAATTTTTAAAATTAACTTCATACAAATAGTTGGAAAACCACACTTTCAAAGACATGTCCTCAGACAGGCAAGGTGGCATAGAATTGTATTCCCAAACTGAGGCAGGAGAATTTCAAATTCAAGGTCACTGTTGCCTTAGTTACTTTTTTCTTGTTGCTGAGATAAAACACCTGACAACCAAAGTTAAAGAGGGGAAAGGCTTATTTAGCTCATTTTGGAGAGGGAACCTGTTGCCTCTCTACCTACCATGCCTCTCTACCTCTCTACCATGCATTACCCTGCCTGGGAACCATAATCGACTGGTTCCCAGGCAGGGTAATGCATGGTAGAGAGGCAATAGTTCATGCTGGCAGAAGAAAACAAAAGGCAACAAAAGAGTGACAAACCTCTTTCTGTCCCTCATAGGGTATGCAAGCTACCCACCCTAGAATGGGTGTAGTGCTCACCCCAGTGGACCATGAATCAATTGCAAACTCTAGATTCAGCCACCTCACAAAGCCTACCGCCAGTGACCACATGAGGGTTCAAGTACATTCAAACACAAACCATAACATTGGGCAATTTAGTGAGATCTTGTCTCAAGAAAATAAAACAAAAACCACTATCTCTAGCACACGAAGATCCTAGGCAGCTTTTGAAAAGAAGAGTGGATTTGACTGGTGTGTAACTCAGTGGTAGAATGCGTGAGGCCCTGGGTTTGATACCCAGCATACATAAAGCAGGCTTAAAAACGTGAATAATTCCCAGTGTTCTCTTCCCCCATGCTTCTCTACAATACTCCCTACCTTAAAATCAGTAATAGAGAAATTTTCTTCTTTTTCTCTTTTCCTTTCTTCATGATGTCTTAGTGTATTGCCCAGGTTGGCCTTAGCTGAAATATCATATTTGGAGTCTGTTTCTGGAGGGGTGGTTCTAGGGATTGAACCCAAGCACTTCATACTGAACTATAGCCCCAGTCTTTTTTTTTTTAAGTTCTTATTTATTTATTTATTTTGTTTTATTTTTGGTGTTACCAGGAATTGAACTCAGGGCCTTGAACTTGCCAGGCAAGCATTTATTCCACTGAGCTATCTCCCTGACCCCTTAAGTTCTTTTTTTTTTTTTTTTTCCTTAAGTTCTTATTTTTGAGACAAGATCACATGAAGTTGCTGAGTTGCCCAGGCTGGGCTCAAACTTGCAGTCCTCCTGACTCAGTCTCTGAAAGTACTAGGATTACATGCATGCACCACCACACATGTATAGCAGCTCTTTAAAAAAATTTATTTGAGACAAGGTTGTCATGCTTTGTACATGACAACCCTAAAGCCTCCTGCAGTCATGGGGCGGCTCCTGGAGTTTGTGATTGATTACTGTAGGTGTGGATGCTGCACTTGTCCAGGGGCAGGTAATTTGTATTACAGTGTGAGGCCAGGAGAGAAGCTAGCTAGGTACCAGGGCTGCTGCCACTCCCTTTTGCTCTCTGCTTTTTGCCTTCTCCATGAGAGGTTGTTGTTTTTGTTTTGTTTTGTTTTGTTTTGTTTTGTTTTGTTTTGTTTTTTGGCAGAACCAGGGATTGAACTAGACCCTTGCACTTGCCAAGGAAGTGCTTATTCTGCTGAGCCATCTCCCTGGCCCCTCCATGAAAGAAGGCTCTCTGCCATGTGGTTCTCTGCCTTGGAGCCAGCTGAGTATGGACTAAAACTTCCTGAACTGTGAGCTAAATAAACTTTTCCTTCCCTAATTTTGAGTGTTGGGTATTTGTCCCAGGAACAAGAGAAGAGTAACCAAGACAAAGCTCTTCCTACATTACAAAGTAATACAAGTTAGAAACTTCTTGTTCTCCTGCCTCAGCCTCTCAGAGTGCTAGGATTATAGGCATATACTGCCACACACAACTCATAGTCTCTTTGAGAAACATTAATTTAAGTTTGTTTTTTTTTTTTAAATCTCTTCTAAGGATCAGTGATATAGCTCAGTGGTACAGTGCCTGCCTGGCAAGCACAAGGCCCAGAGTTCAATTCCTGGTACCAAAAAAGAAAATAATAAATAAATAAATAAAAATATCTTCTAAGTAGGATCAAAACTTTATTACAGTATGATCTTATCCCATATGAGGACTATAGACTGGATTGAATGGATGTGTCTTTGAATGCCTTCTGTCAATCTGTCCTTGTGGTAGGTCCTAAAGGAACATGAAAGAGCTAGATAAAAATCACAGAGGAGATTATTCTAGAGCTGGACCTTGAAGGGTGCTGATGGGCAGAGGAGACTTTGGAGGAAGGATCCTCTGATTAAAGAAAATTATCTAGGCAAAGGTGTGGGCTTTTCAATGTCTGTGGTTTGTCTGGCCAAGATGATTAGTGTAGGGTGGAGAATGCACAGAGTATCTGATAGGGAAGTTGTAGGACTAGAAAGCTAGGTTAGGACAAGTCTGTGAAGAGCTCAGGCCATGGGAACTTGGCTCATTAAATCTTTAGCATCTACTGTTAAGAAATCAGATAAAGGGGCCAAGGATATAGCTCAGTGGCGTAAGCACCTGCGTGGCAAGTACAAGGTCCTGAGTTTGATCCCTGGTACCACCAAAAGAAATCAAGGATCTGGGAGTTAGCTCAGAACAGTAAGTGCTTGCCTGGCAAGTGCAAGGGCCTGATTCAATCCCCAGTTCTACCAAAATAAAAAAAAAAAAAAAGAAATCAGATGAATTGTGGATGTGTTATGTCTTGTTTTCTGTTACCAGACCAGCTGGACAAGACATGAATTCATCATGTTGTTCTCATACTCAAGTCCTAAAAATGGTTCTCTTTTGCCCAGAAATTGCAGAGATTTCCTGTTGGTACAGTGGAGTCACAACTTGTAAGGTGGTTAGGTTTTGAAGACTCCTGGAGGATAAAATTAAGCACACTCAAAGCGATCCTTTAAAATCTTTTAAATTGCCAATAAAGTTTTTTCTAACAGTCTTATTCTCTGTGGAGTGACTTATAGGTCTGAATATATCATGCAAGTAGTAAGTACCATGTATAGTAAAACTGCATACCACCAGCAGATTTTATAGTATTAATAATTATACTGTGTGTGTGTATTTTTGCCAAATAGGTATGTTTGGAGTTATATAAACGTATTGCTAATCCCATCCTAATCTAGAGTATAAGCTCCACGGGGGCAGAATTCTTTTCTTTGTTCATGAATATATCCCCAGAACCTAGAACAGGACATAGGACACAATAAGCATTCAATAAAGATTTACTCAATGAATAAAAAAGAAAAAGAAAAAGAAATCAGATCAGTTTGTCTCTATGATACCCTGAAGAACTGAGCAAAGAGGAAAGAAAACCTCTTATAAATCAGATTCCAGATTCTAGGAAGGCTGTGGTCATGTCAGGCCTGGGATAAGCCATTTTCCTTACCTTTCTTTCTTGGGATTTCCAGGAATCTAGCTATGTTGTGGAGAACCCTGAAGTTGGACCTGCCCAGCACGACTTGGGTATTGTGGAGGCTACTGAGAAAGCTCCAGAAGTGCCACAATGTGCCCCAGCAGGAAAAGATGGCCTATGTGGCCGTTGCTGTAAGCCCTAAGTCCTGCCCCACTAGCTTCAGCCCACTGTGCTCCCCTTCAAGGATGACTTCCCCCATCTGGAAAGTGTTATTTTCAGTCTCCCTCAAAATTTGCTCTGAGATTCATGTATAAATCATTTATAAATCTATACACATAGTCTCTATCAAGGGATTGACATGAAGGAATTTAGGAAGAGATTAGGAAACCCTTAAGTGGCTTTAATATGTTTAAATATCCTTGCTTCTTTAAAAAAAAATTATCACCATAGTTAAAAAGTAACACAAACCTGTGAAGAAAGTTTTGATTATTTGCTTGCAGTGCTAGGGATTGAACACAGGGCCACATACATGCTAGGAAAGCACTCTACCACTGAGCTAGATTTCTAGTCCTTTTTTAAATTCCATTTTGAGATGGGGTCTTGCTAATTTGTCCAGGCTAGCATCAAGTTTGATCATTTCTCCTCATCCTCCCAAGTGGCTGAGATTACAGGTGTATGCTACCACACCTGGGAGGAAATTTTTAAGTAGGACTGCAGATAAACTAGTGGTAGAGTTCTTGTATACCAGCACAAGACCCTAGTTTTGATCTCTACTACTGCCAAGTACAGAAATATAAAACACAAAACATAGATCCCCTTGATTAGGTGTTGGCAAATTTTTCTGCAAAAGATTAGTCATAAGGGGCCGGGGAGATGGCTCAGTGGAATAAGCACTTCCCTGGCAAGCGCAAGGGCCTGAGTTCAATCCCCGGTTCCACAAAAAAAAAAAAAAAAA